CGCTGTTGGGATAAAAACCGCGACTATATGGCGAGGACTTTAGCCACTAGGCCACCACGCCAGGCCCAGGAATTGCCTTTTTATAGACTTATTTATTTTATTGGAAAGGCAAACATCTCATCAGATTCACCAGAATGTTTTGCTAGGTGGTAGGGGTAAGAGGTTAGAGTCAGGAGTGGGGGAACAGGAAGAATTTGAGGTCCCAATGAAGACAAATGCATGAAATGAGAACTTAATCCTTTGCACCTGAGGTACACCATGAAAATTGAAAAGGAAAAACTAGATGTGTTCATCAGCATGGAAAGATACTATCCAATGGAAAGAGAACTACAAATACAGGGAAGTTTAGAAAACATGCTAAGTTAGATAAATAGAAATCCATGGAGTTCTGGAAGGGCATTTTTGTGCACACTTTGTCACCTGTGGGGGGCACCTATTGATGACACTGTGTCTGCACGCTGAGTTGTACCCATATACAGGAATGTAAGTGTGGCTTCACCACTCAACTCTGGGCTCTTGGAGACTTCAGACTTGATATTTTTCTGTTTTTAAATACATTTTAAATTTATTAATATATAAAGATCAAATTTCATGAATTTTATAGACATTATCCCAATAATACAGTAGTACTTTCTTCCCTCCTATGGTGCCTCCCTGCTCCTGCCTTTCTTTCCCTTTTTATTTTCTTTTAGTTTTTGGTCACAGAACACTTTCTTTTTTTTTAAATCCATATTAATATTATTTTTCCCCCTGTATCCAGGGTAAGGAAAGAGATAAAGGGAAAAGACCCACCCAGTCTCCCACCCATCCCAGGTTCCAACGTGGGGCATGCTCTGAGGGTCCTGTTCATGCAGTTTTGATAGTTCAACACTTCTGAATTGCTGCCAATCTCGCTGCTCCAAGCACGATGAGGTCTTTTGAAGAATCCACTGGTTGACATAGTCTCTTCATGGTTGCAGTTCATTTGGGGGGATCCCCAAAGAAACTTTGTCTGAGGTGATCCCAGATCTGATTCTTGTGCGTACTTGCCAGTTCAGAGTCCAGCACTGTCTGTCACCGTCCGTCACCCCAATCAGTTTATGCACATGCTGGTGGTTGTAACTGTTGGGTCAGTTCTGTTTTCAGCCCTGTTTTCCATGCAAACTGGTGGGTGTTACAGTCCAGCCCGATCCTGCCCACTTCATACTCAGCAGCCTCATGCAAACTAGTGGGAGCTGCAGCCTAGTTGGGGCGACTCCCCATAACCCCCACTAGACCTGCCTCCTACCCTGGTTCCCAGGCTTGCCAACCTGTGCCACAGACTTGTTCAGTCTGTCCCACATCCCATTCAGCTCTCATACATGTCAATGGGCATTGAAGCCTAGTTCAACCCAACCAGCCCTACTATCCAGCCCACACACATACTGGTGGGTGCCTTTCTGTCTAGCCTCCCCTACCCCAATCCTGGTTTTCATGCTTTCCAGTGGGAGGGCTAACCTAAGAGGGAAATGCCCACTATTTTCCTACTAGGACACTCCCACTCCTGGATTATGCACTTTCCAGGTGGTTCTGTGATTTAACTTGACAGAATTAGCCTCTAGTGTCAGCCTCTGCCAGCTGATGCTGCGGGAAAGCCCAACCAACCCTTACCCACTCTAATTTATGCTTACACCAGTAGGAACAGTCGGCCCAGCCTGGCTTTTCCCTGATCTAACTCACATGAAGCCCACAGGTGTTATAGTACTGCTTGGTCTGGTCTGCCTCTATCCCAGCTCACACTCTCCAGTGGGAGTGGCTATTCAGCAGGGGAGCCCTCTACATTCCCTCCGCTGGCTTTGCCCCACTCCCTCCCTGTTTTTCACACGTGTGGTGGTTGGGTGCTGCGGCCCAGTCTAGCATGGTCCACCTCATCTTGGCATTTGCCAGTGGGTGCTGGTGCCTGGTCCGGCCTGGCCCACCCCCAATTCCTGCTCACGCTGGTGAGGGTTACAGCCTAGCCCAGCCCAGCCCAGCAGGCACCCAATCTCAGCTGTATTGTGCACTGGTACACATTGTGACCCAACCTGGCCCGCCCCATACTCTGTTCTGTATTGGGGGTCCTCCCGTCCCGCGGAAGAAATCACCCGACACTTGAGAGAGTCTCCAAGGCGCTTTATTCCAATCTTTCGTTGTGAACTGTTATGATCGTTAAGTCCGTTATGCTCCAGTCCCTCCCCCGCCAAGCCCCCTGCTTATCTGTCAAACTTGTCCAATCAGCTTAAAGATACCCAAGGCACACCAATCAGGGCAAATGGCCAATCACAGGGCAGAAAATGGTCAGTGCCCCCAACAGTTCTGGTGCTTGGATTTACCAGCAGTTAATGTGAACAGATTCAGCCTGGTCTGCTCCCGACCTGTGCCAAATATATGCCAGTGGGTATTTTTCTCTGGCCTGGTCTGGGCTGCTCCCTACTGTGGTTCTTGTGCTCACCTGCAGGGACTGTGTCCTGACAGAGGAGTTTCCTCCTCCATCAGAACCTCTCCCAGTGCCACATCTCACGAACACCAGTTGGTTCATGGGCCAGCTCTACCCCACCTCCTGTCCTGGTAGGAACAGTGGCCTTTCCTGATTGGCCTTCACCCCATTCTGGTTCTTACTGTTGGTTGGATGTTTCAGCCCAGTCAAGGTTCATCCACACACAGACATTGCTTATACGTGGCTCAGCAGGGACAGAGACCTAGCTCAGCCTGTCCTACACCTATCCTGGTTCTCACAAGCACCAGATGGTGCTGGAGTCTAGCCCGACTAGGTGCGAACAGCCCCAGTTCACACTTGCATAGCACACTTTCAAGTTACTTTATAATCACAGGCTCAATTTTCCTCCAAAGAGCATACAAATTAAAGGAAAATAGCATGAATGTGGGCTGAATAGTGGCATCTGTTGGGTTGAACTAGGCTCCAACACCCACCTATGTATACAAGAGCAGAATGGGATATGGGAAAAACTGGAGCAGTCTGTGGCACATATTGGCAAGCAGAGGAACCAGGACTGGGGCAGACAGGATTATCAGGGTTGCTGTGACTAGGCTGCAGTTTCCGCTGGTATATGTGAGGGCCAAATGTATGGTGGATAGGATCAGACCGGGCCACAGCATTCACTGGTTTGCATAAGAGTTGGGACTGGAGACAGAACTGATCCAGCAATTGTAACTGCCAATGTGTGCATAGGCTGATGTGCATGATGGACTGAGCCAGATCCTGCACTGGCAAGAACACACAAGAGTCAGGTCCAGGGTCACCTCAGATGAGGTTCCTTAAGGGATCTCCCCAACTGAACTGCTGGACTCAGAACTCCAACTATCGGGAGAATAGCAGAATCTGTGGACTGACTATGGAGTGCATGTGTCAGAGTTGGGCCTCCTCAGTGGCTTAGATGGAGCAGTGGACAGCATGCCCAGAGCACATGGAGGATATGGCAGTCCATTGGGGCCTGCAGAGGACATCTCATATCATAGCAGAGGAAGGAGAACAGAACAAATTAGACAACTATCCCAGCCAAGCATTGACTGCAAATATCTGGGGAAGTGGACCTGTCAGTCAATGGACCTTAGAAGGATTTCCTCATCCTTGGAGTGGTGAGGTCAACAGCATTTCAGAACTATTAAAACCGCTTAAGCAAAACCCTCAGAGCCTGCTCCACACTGGGGACCTTGGGATGATACTAAGTGGCTGTTCCCCATCCCTGGGTACTGAGGTGGTTGAGAGGCTGAGTGTGGCTTTTCCCCTTATCTCCCCTCTTCACCTAAATACAGGAGGAAGATAAAGAAAAGTTGGAAACTGATATCACCCACTTCCCCATAATTCTCGGCCCTTCCCACCCTGATTAACAATGTAAACATCATCAAAAATTAAAAAATAAATTCAAAAATTAAAGGCAAGTTATTAGAGACATCAAATCACAAGACATCAGTCTAGCTCAACATGCACTAAATTTTTTTTTAATACTTTATAAGCTATAACCAAGCAGAGAAAGTGTATGTTTCCTTTTTTGGTGTGGTTTATCTCACTAAGCATAATGGTTTCCAGTTGTATCCATCTTGTTGCAAAAGGCCAGGCTTTCCTTCTTGTTATGGCTGAGTAGTAATTTATATTCTTTTTCTCCTAAAAAGAGGGTTATAGGACAGTGGTTAAGCAAACTGTGTTGGATCCAAGCTTCCTGTTCTTACATGCTGATTCCACTGTGTGCTAGCTACTTCCCCTTGACTTAACTGCTTACTGTCTCTGTGTATAAGAGAAGGCATGAGCATTTCTCTTGTAAGGTGGTGGACATTGGTGTCAGCTTCATATAGTATTTGTGAGGATAAAAGTAGTCCGTGAAAAGGTTTAAAATAGTGCTTAAGTGTATTAAGCCTTCAATAAGTTTTTAGGATGAGGGCAGCATAGTGATGTTTTAGGCTAATTCTTTACCCTTTAGTAGCAGCATCTTGTACGAGTGCCAGTTCATATCGTGGCTGCTCCACTTTCCATCCAGCTTGTGGCCTGGGAAAGTAGTAGAGGATGGCCCAAAGCCTTGAAACTCAGAACCCATATAGGAGACTCAGAAGAAGCTCCTGCTTCCCAGTTTGGGGTTAGTTCAGTTTTGGCTATTGCAGTGAGCCAATCAATGGGAGATCTCTCACTTTCCTTCTCTATGTAAAATCTGTCTTTCCAATGCAAATACATAAATTTTTCAAAATATATTTATTTATTTATACTGCAAAGTTAGATATACAGAGAGGAGGATAAACAAAGAAGATCTTTCATCCAATGATTCACTTCCCAAGTGACCCCAACAGCTGGAGCTGCTCCAATCCGAAGCCAGGTCTCCCTCCCGGGTGCAGGGTCCCAAGTATTTGGGCCCTTAAATAAATCTTTTTTAAAAAGTATTTAAAAGATGCTTCCAATCACCTATCAAATAAAGTATCTCTCCCATTTCCTTTTATCCTACAGCTCCCATGCTCCTTCCTCTTCCATGTATCCTAAGACCCTCACCTGTAATAACTCACAGCGGCCCCTGGGCCCGAGGATTATGACTGGAATGCAGAGCCTGCATGATGAGGATAGTGCCAACGACGATGCCCACCAGGCCCACCAGCAGGCCCAGAGCACAAACCACGGTCTCTGTCATCTCAGGCATCTGGATCGGCTCCTGGGCCTCTGTGGAGGAGAATGACGAGCTGAGATCAGAAGGTGTGGGGAGGAGAGGGGCTGGCCTGGGCTGTGCGTGGGAGTTGAAGGTTGCAGACCACTGGACAGCATCCTAGGAGAACCAGAGGACCGAGACCCACCAAATGGGGACAGTTGGAACAAAGGGCAAAGGGTCGTAGGAGGGGAGGATCCCAGAGAGGTTATGTAGAGGAAAGGGGGCTCCGTACCCCAGTGTGTTAGGAGCGGCTGCTCCAGGCCCCAGTGCTCCACCTTGCAGTCATACACATCGTCAGCCGTGGGCAGGAAGGTCAGGTAGTGGAACTTGTGGAACCGGAACTCTGTGCTAGGCAGGAAGATGCTCTCGGTCACCCCCTCGGTGACCAGCTGCCCATTGCGCAGCCACGTGACGTTGAGCACGGGTGGGAAGAACTTGTCGATGTGGCAGATGAGCGTGTTGGGCTGGCCCAGCTCCACAGGCTCCTTGGGAAACACAGTCACCTCGGGGGCCTCTGAGGGCAAGAAAAGAGGGAAAAGAAGGCAGTTAGGACCTGCGGAACCCTGTTTTGGATGAAGGACAAAGACTCCACTTTTGGGGTGTCACCTACTTATCTCCCTTGGACCTTAAGGATTCCTGTGGGTCCCTATGGGTCCCATCCTGCTGATCACTCTCACTCACCCTAAACTTTCTCTTGACTGACGGGAACCCCTAGCAATGCTGCTGTAAGTCCAAGGCCATTCAGCAGAAGGACCACTCAGCAGACACATGTTGTTCTCCCAAACTGTGTGTGGCTGAGAGGCCCTTCCAAGCCCTTCCAGTTGCTCTGCAGAAAACACAAAGAGAAGCTGTACCGTTGGCAGCCTGGGTGTGGTTGGAGCGCTGGATCAAGACATTCAAGCCTGTCTTTATTGCAGGAATCATGGCCAGTAGTTCGTTAAGATCCTTATCATCAACGGTAATGGCTTGGCCAAACTCTGGCAGACGCCAGATCATCTGCCTCTTGTCCTCATCCACATGGCATATCTCATCTTCATCGTACTCAAGCATGACCTCCACTGATGGTGTATGCATCTGTATAAATGCAACTACCATTATCACATGGTCCTCTGCATAAAGGAAATAGAGAAAATGAGACAAACTGTGTTAGAGGCTAGAGAATAAATAAAAATTTATTGAAATAAAAAGCCAGAAGAACAGGTATTTTTAAGCAGTAAGACACCCACATCTCACATCAGAGAGTCTGGGTTCAGTTCCTGGTTTCAGTTCCTGATCCCTGCTGGCTTCCTGCTAAAGCACTCCTTGGGAATGCCTTGGGAGTCCATGGTGATGGCTCAAGTACTTGACTTCCTGCTATCCTTGTGACAGACCTGGATTGAGTCCCTGACCTCTGGCTCCAGATCCAGTTCAGTCTCAATCATTGTGCGCATTTAGGGAATGAACCAGCAGACAGGAGTGCTCACATTCTCATTCTCTCTCCTCCCCCTTTTCTAATAATAAATAAATAGATAGCTAAATAAACAAATAAGGCATAAGGGATTAAATCTGTATTGCTGGGTGCCAGTTCCAGTCCCAGCTGCTCCTTTTCCAATCTGGCTCCCCACTAATGCTCTTTGGAAAACAGTAGAGAATGGTCTAAGGCCTTGGGCCCCTGCATACATGTGGGAGACCCAGAGACGCTCTGATCCAAATTCAGTCATTTCAGTCATTTGGGAAGTGAACTACAGATGAAAAACTTCTTTCACCGTTGAACTTATCTGGACAATAAGATGTTGGACTTTATGCTTGGTATATGCTTGCAATGAAAAAAATCTCAACTGAATTTGAACTGTGGAAATGCAACAAGGTGGACGAATCCACCATTGGGGGGTGGTTTGAGGAGGGGTGGGGAGAATCCCAGTGCCTATAAAACTGTGTCACATAATGCAATGTAATCAATAAAATAAATAAATATGAGAAAGAAAAACTTCTTTTCAACTTCTTTTCAACTTCTTTCAGTTTCTTCATAAATCTGTCTTCCAAATAAATAAATAAATAAATAAATCTTTAAAATAAAATAAATGGAAGAAAAGAGGTCAAAGGAAGGACATAACCAAAGAAAAAGGAGTCACACTACGAAGGAGAAACACAGGGTGGGCAGGGCAGCTATAGAAGGAAAGGAGGGCCCAGCACCATAGCCTAGCGGCTAAAGTCTTCGCCTTGAACACGCTGGAATCCCATATGGTCACTGGTTTTAATCCCGGCAGCTCCACTTCCCATCCAGCTCCCTGCTTGTGGCCCGGGAAAGCAGTCGAGGACAGCCCAGAGCCTTGGGACCCTGCACCTGCATGGGATACCTGGAACAAGTTCCTGGCTCCTGGCTTTGGATCGGCACAGCACCGGCCATTGCAGTCACTTGGGGAGTGAATCATTGGACGGAAGATCTTCCTCTCTGTATATCTGACTTTGTAATAAAAATGCATATATCTCCCCCCCCCCAAAAAAAAAGAAGGAAAGGAGAAAGACAAACAGGAAGAGCATCACAGAGCAGCTGGACTGCTCCTGGTCCTGGCAGGTCTGAACCTACTGACAGACACAAGTAACACTGGTGGGCACTTTACTATGCACCAGGCACTTCCCCAGTTCCAACATCCAGCACTCATTCCTATGTCTGAGGCCCTCAAAGGCAGCTGCACAAAGAAGACCCTGGGGACTCAGGAGGTCTATGAGGAGGACAGGGTCCCTGCAGCATTCTGTTATTGTGTGCAACCATAATGTGCTTGGGTATGATTCTCAGAAGTGGGTCTGGACTTAAACCACAGCTCTGGTGTGGCCTTGCAAAAATATAGTAGCCTTTGTAGTTGAATAACTGTTTTCATTTATTTGAAAGAGAAACAGAGGGAGAGATATCTTCCATCTGCTGATCTTCCCAGATGCCCGCAATACCCAAGGTTAAAGCCAGAAGCCAGGAGCTCCATCTAGGTCTTTCACATGGGTAGCAGGAACTCAGGTCCTCAAGCCATCACCTGCTGATCTTGGAGAGTGCATTAGCAGGAAGCTTGTTAAGAAGGGAAACAGACACTTGAATCCTGGCACTTCCAGGAACATGCATATCCCAAGTGGCATCCACACTGCTGGCCACATACACCCCAGAAAATGTGTTAATTTTTTTGAACCTCAGATTCTTTTTCTTTCCATCTTTCTGTATTTTTTCTTTCCTTGATTGAAGGTTTCTGCAAAATGTAATTGAGGATAGAAATCAAACAGGGACCAGTGCATTGGACTGACATTAGAGGGGCAAGGGTGCCTTCCCCTAAAGAAATAAAGGAGAGGGCCCGGCGCGGTGGCACAGTGGTTAAAGTCCTCGCCTTGCACGCCCGAGATCCCATATGGGCGCCGGTTCTAATCCCAGAGGCCCCGCTTCCCATCCAGCTCCCTGCCTGTGGCCTGGGAAAGCAGTCAAGGACGGCCCAAAGCTTTGGGACCCTGCACCCGCGTGGGAGACCCAGAAGAGGCTCCTGGCTTCGGATCGGCATAGCATCGGCCGTTGCGCTCACTTGGGGAGTGAATCATCGGACGGAAGATCTTCCTCTCTGTCTCTCCTCTCTGTATATCTGCCTTTCCAATAAAAATAAAATAAATCTTTAAAAAAAAAGAAAGAAAGAAAGGAGAGAGGAGTGACATCAAAGCAGACATGTGAATCTGAAAAAAAAAAAAAACCCAAAAACAAAACACAGAAAACTTAAAACACAAAACACTTAAATTTAAACAGAAGCTGCCCCACCTCTCCGCCCATATGCCCCCCACCGCCCTACTTCCCACTCCACCCCACCCAGGGCACTCACCCTTGATGTCTGCTGCCCCTTTTTGGATATTCAGCAGAGAAGCTAGGGAGAGGGCCGTCATGATCACAGTTGTGATCTGCAACATTCTCTTTGAAGGGATCTGCAGTTGACAACTGTGAGCACAAGAGCAGTGACCAGGAACTGAAGCCGGCTGGGGGCAGACAGGAGGCCTGAAACTGCCCAGAATGGCCAAAAATGGTGGGGAGGAAACAGCATGGCTGGGCACGGCCAATCATTGAAATAATAGAGCTGACACTCTTTGTTGTTGGGTAAAGAGAACACTGGAAAAGGCTGTGGACCTGCGTAGCCAGGTAACTCCAATTCATAGTTCAAAAAAGGAGACTTGAAAAGATAAGTCACACATTCCTCTGACAGCTTATATAGTCCTGTTATGTGACAGAGTTCATCTCCCTACGTTTCCCACACCCACTCCATCTCAGACGCTCAGATTATCTTCCATGCTTTTGTCCACTTTTTTTTTACATTTTAAGTTCTTAATTTCTGATATACCAATCTTGCTTTGCTTTACTGCTTCCTTAAATTCTTCGAACTCTTGCATGAGCTTCTCATTTTTTATCAGAAGCTTTAAAATGCATCATATGGATTCTGTGCTTCCCATTTTCTCAATGTCTTCCTCAGTTAACTCTGAGGTTACCATAGGGTTTTGCTTCTTTGCAAGGGAGTCTTCAGTAATATTCATTGTGCCTTTGTCTCTTCTTTTGCTCTCAGTCATTGCACTTCTGGTTAGCAGAGTCTTCTCCTTGGGGCAGGTTTCTAAGCTGTGTCACCCACAGGTCTACAGTTTGATTTTACTGATCACAGTTGGTACACAGCTCTTTGTTTGCAGTCAGTTGTGCCACAACCTCCAGCGAGTTCCAGGTCTGAGTTCTCATGTCAGATTTCTACCTTGGTCTCCACATCCCCAGCTCCTGGCTCACCACTCTTCACCTCCTGTGATACTGTGCTGAGGCTGCACTGTTGTCTCTGCAACCTTTCTCCCATACTCGGTGGGAGCAGGTCCCAGGATTAGGGATACATCAGGTTCCTATATAGCTAGGTTGTTGGTGGCACTGATCTTGTCGGAACCTGTTGGACATTAGGTCTGGGTGCCACATGGACCTATTTTGACTGGTATGATGCCACAGTCAGTATTATTTTCCTGCGGGACCTCAGCGAGTTCTCGCAAGCTCAGCACATGTGCAGTTCACTGTTGTCCCCTGCAGTCCCAAAGATATTGCCATGGTGTGCAAAATGGCGCCTGACGTACCAGTATTACAGTTCTTGATCTGCTGGCCGTCAGATCCGAGGGTTACACAGACCTATCTTGGGTGGAACCTGTAGAATGCCACGTTGTTGCAGTTCACCGAGTCAGAAATGAGTTCACTCCCTGCTCAGCACATGCTGCCTCCTTTCCCTTGCCCTTTCCTCCTTATGCAAAATTGTGCCCAATTCAGCTCTAGGGGGCTGACTGGGCTATGAAATTCACTCTGTTCTCGCACTTCCTGTCTAAGATTTGCTGCTCTGTCTCTGCTCTTGGTCAAATCAAATGAACCAGCAGGACAGACAGTTCTTTGGATTCATCTCCCAAGCTCCCAGTGAAAGTCCCTTCCCACCTGGTTGCAGGTGGAGTTCTGTCTGCTGGTGGAGTCAGATCGCCGTGCTGGAGTATCAGTCCCTGCAACACCACACTGCTGTGCCCGCTGCTTTCCTGTGTCTGTCAGTCTCCAAGTACCCCTGTGCTATTGTTCTGTCCTTTCCTATTTCCTGAAATATGTCCTCTCTGCTTCATCCTGACTAAATGTTTTTCTATCCATTTAAACGTGTCCTTACCCTATTCCGCCATCTTGATTCTCCTGTGAGTGTTTTAATTTTTTACTTTATTTATCATCTTTTAAAAATAATTATTACATGGTTGATCAGGTAGGGAGGAATCATGGTTTAGGGAAAACTGGGTGAATTCATTGCTTCCCAAATTTCTATTTCTTCATGTTGTTCCTGGGATAAGGCAATAAACAAAGGGGAAAATCATGACTTTCCACACGTCCCAGTACCAGGTTCTGGTTCTTCTGCAACAGCACCAAATGTGCTGCTTTATTCTCCTTACACAACAGAGCCTGTGTCTACTGCTCCACCTTTTTCATTAAGTAAGGCATGTCTTTGCAGGTAAGTCCAAGTAGCTGGGCCAGGTGTCCCAAGCATCACCGAATCTTGCATCCCTGGGCCTCACGAACCCTGCACCCATCTAGTAGGAGGGCCCTGGTACCCAAGCCAGGAGACCCAAGCCCTGCCAGATCCCCGCTCCCGGGGTTCACGAAACCAATACTCACCTAGAAGGCGGCCCCAGGATATGGGCCAGGTGACCCAAAACCCAGCAGTTCCCCTGTCTCTGGGGCTCAGGAACCTACCCCTCACCACACATGTGGGCCCCATAGCCTGAGCCAATCTTCCCAAGCCCTGTCAGATCCTCTGTCCTTGGGATTCACATATCTGGCCCTTGTTTGGCCCAGGCTTGCATGACTCGCCTCATCTGAGCTTCTGCAATCTTATTGTACCACCTGACCTAGTCTAGTCTGCCCCCTGTTCCAGCTCCTGTTGGTGGGTGCTGCAGCCTATCCCAGTCCAGGCTGATTGCTGTCCCGGTCCTATTGTGAACTGGCTGGTGTTGCAGCTCAGTTTGGCTCCTTCTATCCCCTGCCCTGGTTCTCAGATCTGCCAGTGGGTGTTATGTGCTGGCACAGACTGGTCTGTCCTCCTGACCCACATGTATGCCAGCAGATACTGTAATCTGGGCTGTTCCTTGCCTTGCTTCTTGTGCTCTCCTGCAGGGTTTGCATCCCAATGAAGGAGTTTCCCAAGCTCCTCCATCAAATCTCCTTCTGGTGGCAGTTCTCATGAATACTAGTGGGTTATTGGCTCAGGCTGACTGCACACCCGTGCTGGTACAATCTGTAGCCATGTACGGTCACACCTGCTGCACTCAATCCTACCCTTGTTCTCACCAGTGGAAACCCCAACCCATCTGAAGTGTCCCCTTAGCTCCCCAGCAAGGCCTGGCCTCATCTGCAGTTCGAGGAGGAGCCAGCAGATTGCAGTCCCATAGGGGTGAGCCCACATTGCCCCACAGTTTCTACTAACAGACCCACTTTTCTCACTCTTGTTCTCTCCTTCAAATCATTTTGGTGTGGATCCCACACATACATACACATGCCGTGGACTTACGAATTTAAGTCCCTCAGCTGTAATTCCTAATGTGAGCATAAAAACCAAAGGTAATCTCCTTCTGCCACCTGTGTGATCCCATCATCCCCTGTAAATCAGGACACTCTAACCGTAAGGGTGCACCACCAGACGGCCCGAGGGTCTCTGTCCTGGGCCGCCCAGCTATGTAGGAACCTCTGTGGGTCAAAGCACCTGACCTCCAGGATTGGATGATCCTGGAGGCCGGCTGAGCTTCCCTCCCCCAGAAATCCAGTGTGCTCAGCTATACTTACCTTTCACCAGTGTAATGTTTCTTTGTGCAATGTAAGAAAGTTCCAGAAACGTCACATCACTAAGAAGCAGAACCAGGATAAGGGAGGAGATGGTTTCATGGCAGGCTACTTCTATAAGACAGAAAAGTGAGAGCAGAACAGAAATGACTTGACCATACTTTGTCTACTCCATAGTGAGCCAATGGGCTGCATGCAGCTGGCAGCATCATCAGTGTCCAGCACACTGGGTCTTTTAGGTGGGCCTGAAGACAGGACAGGCCACAGGGCTGGTGACTGGGTAGAAGGATAGTGGTGGAAGCTGACGGTGCTTATTAAGCAAGGACCACATTCAGGTAGAAGACAATTGAAAATAAACTGCCTTTTGGTTTGAGAAAAGCAGTATGTGCAAAACCTTTGTCATTGAATAGTAAAACTGCACAACTAGAAATATAAATTTTTGTAATACATAAAGATATAGGGATTTATTTTAATTTTTAATGATGATCAGGTGGGGAGAGCCAAAGTAGAAAAATTAGTATATCTCAGTGGGAAAAGAAAACACAGGAGTGAGTGATGTGATGCATCGGGCTCAGTCGCTGCCTTGGAGCCCCTCTTCCTGTAATGGAGTATATGAAGTGTGGCTAGTCCACACTGCAGTCCAGCTTCCTGCAGATGCACCTGGGAGGCAGTAGGCGATGGTCCAGATGCTTGGCTGCTACCACCCTGTGAGAGATCCAAAGGGAGGTCCTGGCTCCTCCTAGCCATGGCCGGGCCCAGCCTAGCTGTTGTAGGCAACTGGAGAGTGAACCAGTAGATGGAAAATCTATTTGTGTCAGTCACTATCTTTCTCCGTTTGTGTCTTTCTTTAAAACAAACAAACAAACAAACAAAAAGATTTATTTTGTTGCAAAGTCAGATATACAGAGAGGAGGAGAGACAGAGAGGAAGATCTTCCATCCGATGATTCATTCCCCAAGTGACCACAATGGCTAGTGCTAAGCCGATCCGAAGCCAGGAGCCAGGAACTTCTTCCAGGTCTCCCACACATGTGTAGGGTCCCAAGGCTTTAGGCTGTCCTCGACTGCCTTCCCAGGTCACAATCAGGGAGCTTTTATGGGAAAAGGGGACTCTGGGATTAGAATTGGTGCCCACATGAGATTTTGGTGCGTTTAAGGCCAGGCCACCGTGCTGGCCCCCATGTGTGTTTAAAATAACCAAAAGCTTAATTTAAAAAAATAACTGTTAGAGAAAGAAGAGTTCCTTGGAAGGAGAA